GGGTTTATTCCAGGTAGGTCAACTCAAACTAATCTTGCTAGTTTTTTACCCACCGCACTTAATGCAATCAACTCTAAAGTACAATGTGACATTATATTCACAGATTTTTCCAAAGCTTTTGACTGCATTTCCCATTCTCAACTTATATTTAAAATTCAAAAATTTGGTATCACCGGTCCCCTTCTTTAGTTTAATTTCTGATTATTTCTCTAATCGCAGTCAACGTTTGGTTATTGACGGTTTTTGTTCTAAATCCAAACCCGTTCCATCTGGCGTCCCCCAAGGGTCTATCCTTGGTCCTTTATTTTTTTAATTTATTCATTAATGATCTTCCTTATTTTGTCAACAACTCACATTGCCTTATGTACGCTGATGATCTGAAGCTGTATCGTATTGTCGGGACTGAGAGTGATGCCAGGGGTCTTCAGGAAGATCTTGATGCTGTCGTTGCATGGAGTCGGCACTGAGGTCTTTCTCTCAATGTCTCCAAATGTAAATCAGTGTCTGTTTCTCTTAAATTAAAACCTTTATATTTTCCTTATAAAATTGGGGATATTGTTTTAGAAAAAGTTTCTGTTCATCGCGATCTGGGTGTCTTCATCGACTGTAAGCTTACATTTTGTAAACATATTGATCATCTTATTAGTAAGGGAAACAGAATGCTTGGGTTCATTTGGAGACATTGTAGAGAAATAAATAGCCCTGGTGCCATTATTTCCTTATATCGTTATTTAGTTACTTCTCATTTTGAATATTGCTGTGTTATTTTTAGTTCAGCATCCGAATCTCAGTTAATTCGCATCGATACGATGCATCTTAAGTTTATTAGGTTTTTTGAAAAATGTTTTAATCGTCCTTGTAATTAATGTGTCCTAGGAATAGATTTTTATTTCAAGATATGGTTTTTCTCTATAAATGTGTTAACTCGTACTTTATTTGTGATCTTGTACATCTGTTTGGTTTGCATGTTAATTCTAGAAGTCTTCGTTCCTGCCCTACCTTTAATGTCCCCTTTTGTAGAGTTGATGTCTGTAAACGTAGTTTTATTTCTAGACTTTCTCTTCTATATAATTCTCTTATTTTAACCTCTAATATTGACATTTTTCACAATAGTTTGTCTATATTTCGTTCTATTATTATTAATCATTTGAATAGTTGAGATTTTTGTACTCTTTCGTCTATATTTTATATACTGTATTTAAATTTTATGTATTTTACCAGCCTGTTAGTGGCGATGATTCGCTGTTGGTCTGATGAAATGAAATAAATAAATAAATTCTTATTTTCATTTATGTCAGTGCAGTCGTTTTTGATATATGTTGCACACAAAAATACCACACGGAAATACCAAAACGTTACACACACGCACACACACACCCACACAAACACCCCAAATTACTACAAAGAAATGTCATTATTTTTAAGAAACTAGGAAATTAATATCCTTTGCAGCGGTAAAAATGAGTACACGTTAATCATGGGCGGAGATATGATATGTATTTTACAATAAAAAACTAAATCAGACAAACAGTATACACCCCAATGGCAAATATCCCCACCACTGATGCAGGGCCATCGGAAGCACACCGGCCGCACAGGCTTTGGCCGGACGACTTTTTCCCAATTGTATTACTTTTAAAAATAAATATACTCTGATACCTGAATTTAGTATTAATGTTAGCATTAAATTGACTTTTTAATGTTGTATACCGTATTTAATCAAAAATCCACCATTTTTCATTCACCGTTTTTGTATTGCCCATGTACATTTCAACACTTTTGACAATCCTTAACTTTAATAATTAAGATTGATTTAAAATAGAGATATACATATAAATAGTGGCCCAAGCCTATGTCGTAATTACGACATAAATATGTCGAAATTTCGACATACGTAAGTCGTAATTACGACTTATTATGTCGAAGTTTCGACATCGAAATTACGACATAATATGTCGAAATTTCGACATAATAAGTTGTAATCACGACTTACGTATGTCGAAATTACGACATATTATGTCGAAATTTCGACATACGTATGTCGTAATTTCGACATATTATTTCGAAATTTCGACATAATAAGTCATAATTACGACATACGTATATCGCAATTTCGACATAATAAGTCGTAATTACGACATAAAAATATATATTTCAGTGGCCCTAATAGGCTTTCGTATTATATAATTATACACAAACGCACATTATGATTTAAATATATACACATACGGTACACTATGTATATATACATATGCCTTATATAATTATACACAAACGCACATTATGATTTAAATATATACACATACGGTACATTATGTATATATGCATTTGCCTTATATAATTATACACAAACGCACATTATGATTTAAATATATACACACACATTATGTATATATGCATATAAATCTGCAAGTGTCAAATAGTTTCCCTAACTGGAATTCAAACCCGGAACCTTCTCTGCTGTCTATGCAGACGTTTTAACTTTCTTTGAAATGTTTTCACACGCTTGCACATACGTGGAACAATCTAGTTCTTTATACTTGCACTTGCACACTACATCTTAAATACTGGCGTCAAGTATATAAATCAAAACGGATATGAATAAATA